TCCTTGTTACTATAGTGGTCAGTATTTCTGCCTGTCGCACAGAAGACCAGGGTTTGATTCCCTGACAGAGAGAGTCTACTCTTTTACACACACACACACACACACACACACACACACACACACACACACACACACACTGATCCACTGACAGGATCTTCACTCCTTTTCACGGCTTCCAGCACGCAATAATCCGCAAGTCAGTTCTTTCCAATGACGAGTCAGGAATGAGTTTTCCGATCCTGAGTAAAACGATGCTGCAGTGACGTGATGCTGCCTGCAGGTGGCAGGCATGTTACATTTTGACATATACAGTCTCCTCTGAAAGTATTGGCCAATTCTGTTGTTTTTGGGTCAAGCATGGTGGGGGTAGTGTCATGGCTTGGGCTTGCATGGCTGAAGTCAGAAGTCTACAGAAACATTCTGTCTGCTGCTTTACAGAGAAATGCATCCAATCTAATGAGGAGGAACTTCATCATGCAGCAAGACAACGACCCAAAACACACTGCAACACAACAAAGCACTTCATCAGGGGGAAAGTGGAAGGTTTTAGACTGGACGAGTCCATCAGCAGACCTTCACCCAACTGAGCAGCATTTCACCTCCTGAAGAGGAGACTGAAGGGAGAAACCCCTCAAAACTAACGACAGCTGAAAGAAGCTGCGCTACAAACCTGGAAAAGCTTCACAAAAGAACGCAGCAGTTTGGTGTCAGTGGATCACCGGCTCGATGCAGTTACTGCAAGCAAATATTAAGTGGTATTTACTTTCATTTATTTCAAGACTATCTGTTCCTACACTTCCTCTAAAACTGGATGATCTTCCATGTTCTGAGTTGTTTAACACGTCTAGATGTAAAGATGAGGAAATGAAAGCTGAAATCCTAAACTCTCTTCTCATATTCCTCTTTTCATCTCAAACTCTTCAGCGTTTAGCAGAAACAAAAAAACTGGCCTTGTGTTCCAAGACCTTCAGAGGAGACTATTTTTTTTTAAAGATTATATTACAGTTGTAGGCTATTATAAAACGTTTAACACTAATGTATGTTTTTTTAGTTTACATCCATACAGTGGTGCTGTAACTTAGTCATGAAGATTTTAATTCACTTCCATATCACTGTTGTAAATAATCACTTCAGATTAAATCTGATAAACTGGATTACACATCATTAAGCACTTTTACTTTACGTCTACGGAAACACACATCATATGAAATTATTCAGCTCTTTATTGCATGTTGGAAGGTTCCTGTGCGTCTTGGTTCTTTTTTTGGTGAATGTGATGAAATGACGTGGTGAAATATTCTGCTGCCTGAAGCACAAAGAGAACTGCAGTGTAATTCACAGAAATCAGATGCTGAGGTTGGCTGGTCGGAATAGCTAATGGAAAAGGTACTTGCCTGAGCAAGTTGTGTGTGTGTGTGTGTGTGTGTGTGTGTGTGTGTGTGTGTGTGTGTGTGCGTGCACACGTTGAGGAGGTGATTGTGGCAGTCCATCAGTTGTTAGGTTTGAGTTACAGAAATAGCACAGTGGAAATGAGTGAACTCTTTAATGTTGGAGTGTGCTCTAGCAAAGTCCCACTCACACACACACACACACACACACACACACACACACACCCTCTCTCTCTCTCCAGTCATATGCACAGTTTAGCACAAAATCACAGCTACGCAGGTTCCGTTCGGACCTCGGTTACTGTCCGTGTGGAGTTTCTGTGCATGTTCTCCCCTGTCCACGTGGGTTTCTCCGGGTTCTACCGTGTCCGCTCACCTCCTAAAACATGCTGAATTTGGATACAATAAATTGAAGTGAAGTGAAGTGAAGTGAAATTGCCCCTAGGTGTGAATGGGTGTGTGTCCAGGGTGTATTCCTGTCTCACACACAGCATTCCCAGGATAGACTCCGGATCCAGCGCCACCCTGAAGATGAATGAATGAAGATTTTACTGAAGTGTCCAAGTAACTACACGAGAACGCTAGCATGCAAATGTGCGAGCGTGAACGAGGAAATTTCCCTCAAATTACAGAACACAAAGCCAAAAGATGTTTCATTACTCAGCTAAGGTTAGAGGTTAAAGGTGAGAGGTTAGAGTTAGGGGTTATTTATTAATGCTTGTATTGATCTTGTACACTATATCTCTAAACCTGTTTCAGTTTTATTGTTCCCTCTCTGTGTAAAGGTCAGAGTTTAGAGGTTAGGGATGAAGCCACAGAGTTAAAAGATAAAGAGGGTCATTCCTGTTATATCTTCACCAAATTATTGACCCTATAAAATATTGAAGCAGACAAGAAAAGTTAACTAAAACTACCGCAGAGAAATGTTCTAAAAATCAAACCATTACAAATGGAGGTCATCAAATCCGGCACAGCAAAGTTTCCGCTCTTATTAAGTGAATATGAAATAAATGCTAACAATAACAAACTCCTATTCAACCTATAATTATTAATTTATTGAAACATATTTAGATTTAATTTAGTGTACTATAATTTACCATCAATGCTCCTGAGCCGCTAAGAAAACACACAAATCAGCACAATTTCTTGTTAAATGCATGAGTTCCTCGTTTGAGTACGAATGGGATATTGATCAGCTAAACTTGACTGGGTCACATCTCACTTTCACTTTCAATCTGAGCAGATACCGCATGAGATGTGTCAACCAGAAAGGACAAAACTACACAGGGTTTATTTTACTCCCTTTTATTCCATTGTTCAAAAAAAGTCAAACAAGCTCAAACAACACAGATGGAGTTATTAATTATACATTAGCTACATGGCTACATAATTTATAGCAAGTGCAGGAATACTGAGGCTCGATAATAATCACATCTAAAGGTTTTATTGCTGAAATCTGGGCCAAAAAGTCTCCCATTTTTCCTTTTAAATTTTATGCACAGTTTTAGTCAAATTTACCATCAGTTTACTCAAAGTGTACATTTTAGGTTAGACAAAAGGGAACATATCAATATTTTCTTAGAAACAATCACCAGAGCTGTTTCTGTGAAGTGAGATTTTTCTGGAATTCAGCTGAAGCTAAAACCGAACCACATGCATCTCAGAATCCTGCACCAGCAGGCCTATAAAAAATGATGTTGAATTAAAATAAATCTTGGACATCAGAGGAGACACATCTTAATCATAGACATCAAGGAGTGAATTTTTTATGGATAAAATTATGAATGAAGTTACATTTTAAATTTAAATTAAACTTAAGTTTCATGCTGATGGTTATGACTGTGTTCATGATGTCAGGTGTTTCAGTAAAGCTTGGCTCAATCTGAATAAAACACAGTGACAGGGTGTGTGTGTGCGCGTGTGTGCGCGTGTGTGTGCGTGTGTGTGCGTGTGTGTGTTAATATCTCAGGGGTGTTTACTGGAAGCATCATTACATTATTACTAACCAGCTCAGGCGTTATGATCGTAACGTTCCTCACACTCAACAGCTGACAACAAATCAAACACACTTCACTGCATTACATTTCCTGTATGTTTAAGTACTTGACTTTAAAGCTTAGTTTAACTGTTTATACCTTGAACATATTTCTAAATTCATAAATTTGAACATATTTCTAAAGATATTTATATTACTTGCAGTGTTATACATGTGTACATATGGATGTTTCAATTCAATTTCCATTCAATTCAGTTTTATTTGTATGGTGCTTTTAACATGGACATTTTCACAAAGCAGCTTTACAGAAATAAATAAACTCAGGATATAAATTTTAAATTCATGAATTTATTCCTAAGGAGCAAGCCAGAGGTGATGGTGGTGTAAGGAGTAAAGCCTCAACAAAGCACCATTTGTACAGTGGAGTGTGAATGTGGTGGTATTTTATTCATCAGAATTTTATCAGCATTTTATTTTTACTTTATTTTTCATCTTGTTCAAATTGAAGGAAAAATAAAGTAAACAAGCAAATTACAGTGAGAGTGTAACAAAAAAAACCAGTTCAATCTGCTACAGAACTGAAGCTCACAGGAAAGTTCATCTTCCACCGCAGTGGCTCAGTGAAGAGAACGCTGAAGGTCCTACAGTGGCCCGGAGTTCTCACCTCTGAGAAGCACTGAGAACCTGAGCTGTAGGCTTGGGGTTAGGGGTAGGGGATCCACATCTAGAGCCTTAAAGTGTTCTTCAGCAGGTCTTTCTAAAGAAGATCAGCTAGAGGTGAACGTAAAACCCAGAGCTGTCTTCCTTTACACACTGTTATTATAACCCAGTAAAGAGGGCAGCTGAAAGCCGTACTTGTACTCTGAAGGTGTTTCTTTATACGACAGTTTAAAAATTTCCCATCTCCTCTGCTCAGAAGATGATGAGATGGTGTTCTCACATCCTGTCACTGTCAGCGGAGAATATCTATAAGTGTGTATTCCACGTAGTTAACATTAGACACATATACGATCAGGATCAGTTAAGTAAAAAAAAAAAATTGCTAAAAAAAAAAAGGTAAATTTATTAGCAATGCTACTGAAACTTTTTGGCCAAAAAGGTGATGTTTTTGACATTTTTGGCTGTAAGACAAATAAAGATTAACTAGGCCTACCTTAAAGTCTAAGAGTTTACAAATCATTTGAATGGTAATTAAAAAGTGATTAAATCATTGTTTGCTCTCCTGCACCAGTCAGCGCAGATGTGTTCAGCGTGACCAAGCTCGGCACTGTAGAATCAGGAGTGTGCGTGTGTGTGTGTGTGTGTGTGTGTGTGTGTGTGTGTTTAAGGAAACCACCAGGTGCTTGGGGAAACCAAGCTTTTGTACTGTAAACATTTCCAGTAACTAAAACAGTTAAAAGTGTATATGTGTATATGTATGCTCATTTTCTAGGTTAAAAGGGAATATAAGGAAGGATTACACTGAAAATGTTCTGTTCCCGCGGCCCCCAGCAGGACCACCCACTGGCAGGTATGAAAACAGTATAACAGAAGGTTTGTCCTTCTTTAGAAAGTGTTCCAGAATCATTTAGTGAGTAAAGAACCCATGAGGAACCATACAAAACTGGCATAGACAGTATTTACACCAGACGATGTGGACCTGTTATTGTAGCAAACGGGGCACTGAAATATTGTTGTGTGGCTGTGAA